CGCGGCTCGCACGGCTCATCTTGCTCGAGTTGCCTTCTCTACTGTCTCGGCGGCCCTCTAGGCCCGGTCCGCCTCCAGGGTCAATTACCGCACCCCCAAAATTCTACGTAGGGTTGCGGTAGTTGACCCTGGAGACGACATGTAGCCCTACGTAGCCCGTCTAAGCCCCGAGGCTACGCTGCTGCTTCACCACACAGGCATCGACGGATTGATTGCAAGCTAAATTTCGTCACTTGAGAAATAGCAAATGCGAGGGGAAAAAACAAAGTACAACCATCTAACAAGTTCAGAAAATTGTCAACCTCGCTGCAGTGTGTTTTCTACCTCACGGTCTGGTCTGCTCTTCGTCTCGTCTCCTCTGGTACTTCCTGTGTGTCGAATTCTATGTTTATGATGACAACAGTGGCAGTTCCTCGGGCATTCAAAATCCCGACGTTCAAACGACAGCAGCACACTAGTCATACTAGTACACCCTCTGTTCATAAATACTCCCTCCGTCCTAAAATAAATGTCTTGAGCTTAGTACAAAGTTGAGACACTTATTTTGGGACGGAGGGAGTATTTAGGAACAGAGGTAGTGTTTCTCTTGCATATAAGGGGGCAGTAATAGATTAGAAAAGTCTTACAAGTAAGACCTGAAGCAACAGTGATGCCAATTACATACCCCAAGTTCAAGCTTACCGTCGATAAACCGAGATAACCGTGGACGGTTTTGAGCCCCTGAAGACAGCTCCATTGCAAAATGAGGCTTTGCTGTCTACAGGGGTATTCATTTAGACTACATAGCAGATAGTAGTAGAAAACAGCATTACTTCTGCTGTTCTGGACTAGTGGTCGGTGTTCGCCACGCAAAATGGCACTAACTGTACAAAACACCTCATGTCCAACCAGTGTTGCATCGTCATCTTGGAAGGTCAGAGTTTCTCTGCTCTAGGGACACCCTTGTAGCAGAGACACAGCCTCCAAAAACGATCCTTCACTGTCCACCATAGAACTGAATCAGCATTTCCAGCCTCCCCCGCCTCTGATCCGACTCCTTGTCGCGATTCTTGAGGAAAGCAGAGTAATCCAGGCTGGCTCCTCCAGGCATCAGTTGCCTCTCAATCTCATACTCCCGCTGCAGACTCCTCTGGTACTCTCCTGAGTAGTAGTCGTCGCTTCTCCATGGTGGCACAACTGGAGGCCTCTCTTGGTGCCAAGGCTGCTCTGGATGTCCAAGCCTCCCCATTGGTGGACGAAAGCCGCCTTGGTTGGGCAAAACATGCAGCGGTGGCCCTCTGCACATTGGCTGGATCATGTCCATTGGTGGATGAAAGCTGCCTTGGTTGGGCAAAACATGCGGCGCTGGCCCTCTGCACAGTGGCTGGATCATGTGCTGGTGATGTAAGTAAGGAGCTCTCTCTGGGCCATAGAAGTTGAGTGGCAAACCTGGACGTTCCATTGGAGGACCTCCAAAGGGGTAAGGATCAAACATGATTGGCATGTCAACTCTGTTGGCTGGAGGAAAGTGTGGCCGAGGCCATGCTGGAGCAAGTGGATGCAGATCAAATGACCTCGTGTCAGTTGCCAACATGTCAGGATAGAATTTGCTGCCTCCAAGGGATGAGATTGAACCAACAATGTTTCCACGTGCTTTCTTCAGTTTCTTTACATCACCGATGCAGAACTTAAAAGTGTAGCAAAGACCTAGAGCAAAAGATTGATCGGACTTTGCACCATCTCCTCTCTTTTGGTTATAACCAGGGTACTCCTCTTTGCAGAAAACATCTTTATCAAACATAATAAGACAAGACTCACTGGCTAGTTGCTCGATATCCCATGCGTCGTAAGGATATCCTGTCTTGTGGCTAAGGTGGATTTCACCAAAGGGCCGAAGCAGGTGTCGTGCATTGGCAAAAAATCCAGTTACCAGCTGCTTATGCAAGCTACAGGTCAAAGCAACATGTTAATTAGAAGTTAGCTAAGAAACCAACTATCCAAAAAGTATGTTAAAGCATTATATTTTGAGAAGGTTCTTGGGTTAACTAAACTAAATAAGAAACCATCAGTTAACTACCATTAGCAGACAAACATTAAGCTCCTTACGGATAAACAAACCAATCTTACTTCACAATTCCTATGTATAGAAACTTCTGCTTACAAGTTACAAAAATAGTTTGATGTTACAGTTCAAATGCCTTGTATTTTTAAGTACTATTACCTCCGTATCAAAATATAAGACGTTTTTGTAGCCTACAAAACGTCTTGTATCTACAAAAACATCTTATATTTTGGTACGGAGGTAGTAGTAGATACAGAGAAAAGAACTAGCAAACAGAGTGATGTACTTATAAGATTTACGTGAAGGTTCAGGAATCGAATGAAAAAATTATAGTTTACTTTTCTTGCATTTGGTACATGGAGATATTTCTGCCTTCATGATAAGATAAATGTCATCTTGAATACAGAGAATACATATCTATAGCATGCGCAATATATCTAAAATGCTATCTATTCTTACTGCAACCATAAAAAACAGCGCATTTCAACCAATGAGACTGCAACATGAGAGAGTCCTCATTGGCCATAACTAAAATAAAATAAAAATTCCTATAGATTCCATCCAATGACACATGTACCTATGCATAAATTTTCTAAACGAAACCACCAACAATGAAACTCCTCATACACAGAGGCAGCCCCATGAATACTAAATCAAACTTAAACGAAAGAAAATCACTAAGGCCAAATATGATGCAACTAGCCAATATGTAAAAAGATAGCAATTTTGTAATCCATGAATTAACCAAAGATTAGTGCACATACTTGATGACTAGCGGGTTATCCTCTTTTCCGTTGAACCCAGCATGAGGAAAATTAAAGACGATCCGGTCGAACCGTCTCATCTTCAGAGAAGGGTAAAGCTTCATCAGTTTTGCATCAACACCATGCAAAACTGTAGATCCCAACATTTTCAGCTCTGCTATATTTGCCTCAGCGTTGCCATACTTCCTCTTTAAAGCGTCTGCCCGAGAAGATTGCGAACAAGATATGCAGACCAAACAGATAAGTTCATCGAAAAATGATCACAGAACAACAATATCTCTCTGAGATTAATGTAGGTATGGGAGTGGAGCAAATAAGAAATATATAAAGTAAAATACGATTTAAATACGAAATATTTAGAAGGAAAAAAAACAAGAGTGGTTGTTACATGGAACGAAATCAAGATATTTTTCTGAGCTACCCTGATGCCCTAATATAGTATGCTCACTGAGTTAATTTCTCACTCATTCATTTCCATTTTCCTGCTCCAAGGGCATTTTGTCACAGTTCATTGACTTGAGTAATCGTTGACACAACAGTGAAAAAAGGAAAAATAATGGTGTGGATAGGGTACAAGATGCAAACCATATCAAAACAACAGGTTACTCTAAACAGCTCTGATAAGCAAAACAGGGAATCTCAGGGCAAAACAAACTAGCCAACAAAACTTAGTACACACATTTAACTTGCCCAGTTCATAATCGATACAATATGAAGAAAAACGAAAACTCAAAATAGCAACAGTGATTCCCAATACACAAATGGATGTGATATTTCCATGACACACAATTCCTAGCAACAAAAAACAGTACAACACACGGTTGGAGTTAGAACTTCTTCATGATTAAGTTTCGGTGAGATCACATACAATCCTTAGCAAAATCAATCATGTTTGTATGTATATATTTATAGCACCTTATTTTCTCCATACAGCTCAAGAAAAATTACTACCAGCTCAATTTATAGTATGCAGGATTAGTACCTTTGTCACAGAATGTGAAGCCAGTTTATGATAACTTGATCCTAAGTTCCTAACCCAGTAAAATGCATCAAATCCTTTTTAACCAGTAGAAGATACCAAATTGTCCAAGGCACATGGTATGCTCGTATATACCCTACATCTCCATGGTCCCATTTATTCCCCATGTCCAAAGCACGAAATGCCAAAAATGTAGTAGCAGTATCATCCAAATTAGTACTACTAGTAGTAGAACACAGAGCACACATATCTGGTCCTATACTCCTATATTAGGAGCAGCAAGAGGGTATGGAATGGATCGAACCGTAGGGGTCGAGGGACGTGGCGACGATGTGCTCGCCGGAGCCGAACGCGGTGGCGAGCGCCAGCGAGAAGGAGAAATCCCCGTCCCCGACGACGAGTATGCTGTGCATCGACGAGTAGTGCTTGAGCCACCTCACCCCCTCGTCATCCTTCTCCGCCACACCTTTCGCCGCCGGCGCATCGGCCTCCCGATCAGCGGCGGGGCCCGCCGGATCCCCTTGCACGGGCGCCTCGCCCTCCCCGGCGACGGCGATCACCGGCGCCCCCTCTGCGCTCTTCACGGCCGCCGCGACCTTCACCCCCAGTGGCGCCTTCTCCCCGCCGCCTTCTCCGGCCGCCGGAAGCCCTAGCACCGCCGCCTCGCCCTCCCCGCCGACGGCGATCACGGTGCCCCCTTCGGCGTCCTCGAGTCCCGCCGGAGCCTCCGCCCCCGCCGCCGCCTTGCCCCCGCACCCGCCGCCGCCCCCGAGCTTCCCCGCTCGCCGTGGCCGCCGCATTCTCCCTCTCTCTCTCTCTCTCTCTCTCTCTCTCTCTCGCTCTCTCCCACAGCGGCGAGAGCAGTGCGGTCGCTGAGCGCTTGCGCTCGTACGAGGAGAAGAGAGTAAAGCGCGTGGACTCGGGTCCACCTGGCCTCCGAACCCGAAGTTGCAATCAGACCGCTCCGGCGAGGGAACGAGCCGAAGGGCGAGGGGGGTTAACCTCTTGGGGCTGGTGGCGGGCCCGGGGGGCGTGGGGCCCGCATGGCGGTGAGCTGGGGGCTCGACGAAAGGTTGCCGGATTTTGCGCGGATACCAGCCTTGTGGACTCTGTGTTGACGGGTTTTGAAATTTGAATTGCTTATACAGGCCTGAGACTCGCTATCGTTTGCAACGTTTCTCGGTGGCTTCTTGAGAGAGAGAGTCGAGTCGCGTCGCACACCAGCCTTCACTGCCATCGCTGGAGCCTGATTGGACGCGGGCTACGGCAGCGCCGCCACGCGGAGGCTGTGGCAGGGGTAGGGGAGGGCGTGGTGGCGCTTCGGGGAGCGACGCCGGAGTTGGGAATATATTATTTTTTCTAGGAAGAGAACGAAATTATTGGCATATGCATCGTTGTCACGTATGGTTTCTAGGCTTGATGCAAGCAAACGAGGTAAGTAATTAACAAACAACGGTACAGAACATAGGCAACCTAGAGCATCTTTTTCTTTTTTTGCGGGTAACCTAGAGCATCCCTAAGACCCTAACAGGTGATAAAAAGAATTTATGATGTAAAAAATCCACATAGGGCAGGTAACAAAGAGAAAAATTTACATCAGTGCGGACATACTAGAACAGGAGATCATCACCGCGTGATACATGTGGTAAGCAATCCAAACAATTCAAAAGTAACAGTAGATCATCAAAAATCATGACGTCCACAGAACTCTATGAGTTCCTCGTCGTCGAGGTTCATCACCCCTGGCAGTCTGTCAGAGGGTCCTATCATGTGGTCGTTGCCGGCCTCACGTCCTCCTCGTCCTCGAGTACGTAATATGCTTCCTTCTCGAGCCCGTCGAACATCGCGTCGACATCATTGGAGATTCTGCGATACATCTGCTCTTCCTCCTCATTCCGCTTCGCCTTGTCCTTCTCAACAAAGAATCGAAGCTCCGCCTGGATGAGGTGTGGATTGGCCTTGGCAAACTAATCCATGTAAACCCTATCCCTCCCCTCGACACGGCAATGTGCTTTCTCCTCCTCGCTGGAGACAATGTGCATCTCGGGGGGTCTGAGTTGCTGCAAGAGGACACACATATCCAGCAAGGGAGACCATGGCCATGTGAAGGGGCTCCGAGGAGTGGCGGCTAGTGCAGCGACATCATGCTGCATGAGATGAAGCCATCATACTATGACGATGTTCCTCCAGCGGCGACGCCATGTTGCAAGGAGGCGGCCACCGGTGCTGCGAGGCTGTGCTATCGCGTCCTAGTGGCTAGGATTTTGTGTTGGGGTTTTAGTGGGGTCAGATGGGTCGGATCCTACGTGGCCGCCAAGTTTGGACCCGTACGGACTTGCCCATATTCGCCCCACATATGAGCTGGATACAAGGGGCGGAGGACAATCCTGATGTTTGGGTTGCATTTGAGGGGTCCAATTGGGTGGCTAAATTTGGCCCGAGGTGGTGTGTAGGTTGTCTGCCCCGACATTTAGGGGGCGAGCAGGGGGGGTGAGAGGTCTGATTGTAGACGTTCTAAGCACTTTCACGCCATCAATTCTCCAATCCAGCTTTCCTTTCGCATAAATCTGGATAGAAGATGGTTGTTAATTATGTAGCAAGATTGCAAGCGAGTGTGTGTGACAAACAAAACTGGTCTGCTGATTATGCCCATGATTTTTGACTGTTGTCCGGATTGGTACCAATTTTGACTGGCACGAAACATGAATGCAATTGTGTGTAAAATTTTCCCATTCGCCCGTATGGATGGTAATGGAATGGGTTTGAACGGGTAGAGTTAAAGCAGATACATACTGATACCCACAAGTCCTTTCATAGGCCGCACATGAAATATCCATGGGCCACAAATGTGGTCCATACTCATACTCGATGGATATCAACAGTTGATAAAATAGAAAAGGATATGGACTTGCATGAGTAACAAAGATCCATGTGCAAAACGTCCACTCATGAAACCTTTGCCCAACGGGCTGGATATCTGTGGGTACCTGGGCCCATGGATAATATTGGCATCTTTACTCTCTCAACTAATTGGTTATTTTTTTAATGTAGACGCTAATATACAGTTATACACGCATGAGCACTCACCCACATAAGCATTTCAACCTCATAATTGACAGGAACGTTGTCAAACATAGAAAGTAGTGTTTACTGGGCACCAATTATATAGCACTAGAAATACAACCAAGTATTTTAAGAATTGTATATATTAATGTACAGAAACAAAAAAACTGTTGCGATAACGACACCAATATGAACTTTCTTTCCTAGAAAGGAGATTGAAACCCCGATCTACACATCAATGTGCACAATCATTTTTTATTATGAAAGTTGATACAAAGCATCGAGCCCATTACAAGATATGAATATACCATCTATGACTAAGTCAGACTTTTTCCACAACAAGGACGACAATGTTCCACTTACCATCTTCATGATGGGTCTTCTGAACCCGGAGACGACGCCACGAACATGGTGACTTGTTTCAAGTTTGTATGTACCTTTCTTTTAAGCTCTTCCTTTTTGAGTGGAACATTTGTTTCAAGCTTGTACATACCTGTTGATGCATAGCTAGCAATTTTAAATTCCATCTCGTCATCATGCAAGTTTTCCTTTTGACACATTTCATTAGCATGACAGTTCAGATATATAAATAACTAATGAAACATACTTTAGTAGTACGTCAATGCCAAGCCAAATGCATTGTGAACCTGTTGCTTGTGGCTCCGAACCTATATCTTGAGAATCCCTTGATCGGAGTTAATGGACAGCCACCGCGAAAAAAAAAACCCGGCCGACCACGCTAAACATAGATCACTTATTTCACAAGCAACAAGCAATTCTTGTCTTACCCCCGTCCACGAAGCAATTCTATCGACGGAAACCCACGATTATTCTTTAGCATCGCGTAGGAGATATCACTCCCATGCAAGGAAGAAAAAAGAAGATTGTTAAACCTTCCTTCCTTTTACTTCCCAACCCAGCTCACTCCATCGCGCTCTAAGCTTGCTCGCCACCCATGATAAAGAAACCAATGCAGATTAGCAGGAGCAGTATCACACAAGCACATCCTGATCGATCTGAACTACTCACCCAAAGCTACCCGAGGCCATGGGGCTCTGCGCGTCGTTGCTGCAGCGGAGGACGGAAAGGCGGTACCCCGAGCCGAGGCGCGGCACGGCGAAGGCGCTGTTCGTCGTCAGAGGCGACCGCCGGCCGTCGAACCCAGATGCGCTGGTGGTCCGGGTGCAGGACTCCGGTCGAACACAGCTCCGGAGACATGGCAGGGAGGAGTGTGGAGGAGGACACGGGGGGTGCTGGCGACAAGGCACCAACGCGCTGGACTGCATGATCACCCGCGCTCGGATGCCCCGGCTGCCTTGCGCCGGCACCGGAACCGTCGGGGTCGAGCCGGACGCAGCGTTGCGCACGCGTGAGACGACGGCGGCGGGCCGAGGTGCCCCGCCAGGGCTCGGGGTCGCGCCGGACGCACCGTTGTATACGCGCAAGATGACGGCCGCGGACGGAGGGTCCCCGCCACGGACGCGTAGGACGCCACCAACGGCCCCGGTGACGCCGACGCTGCCCTCGCCGGCCATGACACCCATGAGCGGGGCACCGGCGGCACCGAGCACGCCGGCCTCGGCAGCCATGACGCCGGGCCGGCCGGTGTGGCAGAGGAGGATACTGATGGGGATGCGGTGCGAGCTGCCGCGATTCAGCGGGCTCGTGCTGTACGACGAGCACGGCCGGCCCATCCCGGTCGGCACCCCGGGCAGAAGAAACCACCGCCAGGTACGCAGGCAGCCAGGCAGAGTAAGCTTAGCTCGACAGGAGTAGTTAGTTTCTTCATGAGCAATGCCGGAGTTCAGATTAATGTACGCTTTTGACCTGTTTTTCTCCAGGGGAAGAAGAAGACTGCCAGGACATCTTCCACCACAACTCTCAGGGACCTCCTATAGGCTAGCAGCAGCTAGTTGCGATTCATTGACAGAGAAGCTGAACGAATGCTTCTGTGTCGAATGCTCTGTTGTAAAGCGGCAAATACTTCTCATGCGAATATATCAATGTTCTAGTGTCGAAAGATTGTTTGGAGGTCTTCACCGTAACATTGCAACTTACATTGTTGGAAAAATTGATGAGAGGGCGCGGGTCCTGATGGGCCATCTAACAATGCCCCCTAATTGTCCGCATATTTTTCCTTCTAATTTCGCAACACTCAAAATAACTATAGAAAATAACACACTTTAGCTATTAGCAAGTCGCCTGAAAATTACTTTTGGCTCAGTCAATTTTTAGAGTGTTGAATTCTACTTCAGATTCGTGCTAATATTTTTCTCTGGGCTGGTCTATGCACCGCTTTGGGCTGTTTTTTCTTGACCGACCATATATTTTGGGTCAGTCGATTCCTTAGTGGGCTGAACCCATTACATGTGCGACCCAGCCTTCCCCTGTCTCTCTTTATTTATTTTCTCGAATACGCTACTAAGAGTGTATCATTGCATTGATAGAAGGGGTTAGAACATACAGAGTGGCATCATGGTCACGTACACAAAATGGCATGCCCACGATACAGAGGGAGCATGATATGGGTTGCTCAGCCCAGACAACCTAGGCTACGTTGCAGGGATGATGTTGCTGAGTCCTTTGACTCCTGCGAGGGACCAGGAGCGGGCATCGTCCATGATCAACGTCAGGAGGGAGGCGGAGGAGGGCGCAATCTTGTCGAAAATGGCCGCATTGCGATGGCACCAGATGGACCATGCCGTAAGGGCGGCGATAGTGGAGAGCCCAGGCCGGT